AACACACAGTTAACGATATATTTTGAGTTTGACTTCTATCTGTCAGACATTTAAGTGCTTGGTCAGTTCTAACATAAATGCGTATGTTTGACATGACCGTTTTTTGTACCAGGCTGTTTATTTCTGCTGTAAAGTTGGTCATTTAACATGGTGGTCTATGGTGATTGACTCACTTTTGGAGCATGCCCCAAGTGGCCATTTGATGAACTGCATATCTTAGCACTTCCGTGTTTCATTTTTTAGCACAGGAAGTTGCCGGTTAGACACAACACAAGTACTTGGTCATTGATAACTTTATGCAGGTCCAGTCACATTAGAGAGAGAGAAAGACATAGACAAAGCTGCATGCAATGTGGAAGAAGTCGCTGGTACTGACAAACCCACGGAGAATAATCCCCAAACTCTGTAGTGTTGTGTCGAGTAGGCCTACTGGCCTGCAAACCCCACTCTCATCATCCTTATTTCCATCAGCAGCAGGCAGCTGTTTTAAGCCGCCAAAAAGCTCTGATAAACCCATTGTACACTATCTGCCCATCACTTAACAGCAGACAGACACAGTTAGTGACTATAGCTAGTGAACATAGTGGAGTATTTAGCAGATAAAGAGCCAGCCATTTCCCTCAGCAGTTTGTTAAGATTAAAACTGAGCTAGAGGGAGAGTAAATATTGGACTGTACGTTCGCTAGAAAACAAAAACATTGCTGAAAATGAGTTGCTGTATTCAGACATTAGCTACCCTTACTAGTTAGGCTCCTTACGTGCTTGTTACTAACTTATATGAAGAGTTTGATTGCCGAGATTGACAGGGTTGTATTTAGAATGTATATAGGCTAACTTATCAGAGTTAACATGCATCAGTTTTAGCCAAATGTGTGCAGAGTTGTTCATGATACCAACCATTTGTGATAGCAGAACCAGCATGGCACGGGAGGGGTACAGCGAGGGGAGATAATAGTTTGTTGATCACGGATAGCGTTGTTCTCTCACAAAATCTAAAATGGGTTGCCAAATATACTTTGGCTGTTAATATACCTGGGCGTATATACTTGTATCTGTATTCAGATAATTAATGTTATACAGAAAAAAATGTTGGTGAAAAGAAAATGGTTGAAATCTTCTAGTAATGAATGGTTTGGTTAATATAAACTCTCTCTTAATATGCATTATTTTATGGCTTGTTTAATCCTCAGGTGAAAGTGCAGAGTCAGTCAGCATCATAACGGATCAACCTGTCAGCCCATCACTTATCACTCATATTTTCCGTGTTGGCGTCCAGTGCGATTCTGATGCCTCCCTGTCAGTGATGTCAGTCTGAGAACAGCATGTGCACCCGCTAAGAGGGCTTTGACTATTCAATTTGACATAAATGCCAGTGAGTCATCACCACCACTGCTTTGGCAGAGACACAGGGTGTGGACGCTGGCCATCTGGGCCAAGGGAAGAGCCATGGACACACAGACTGCCTGCAGGGCATGCAGTCATTTGGTGGTGGCATATAATGACGCTCACAACAATAGAGACTGGGCTTGTTGAGAAGTTACAGTGTGCTCGTTGCTATGGCAAAGCTGAGTGTTTGTACCAAGCATCAAGTCCAGAAATTGATAATTCATTTATGGATTGATTGATATTCACTGTGTCATTACAAGAATACACTTTGTATCATATTGCTCATTGCATACTAGAAAATGAAGTTGCTGGATGGAGAAAAAGGGAATCGTCCAATGGCCATCTTTGAACATGTCTGACTTGGCTCTTGGTCAGATGTACTTGGCTCAGCTGTAATTTGAGGTAATGTAATGTAATGCTATAAAATAATGGCTAGTTCAGCATGCTGTTGTAGATGAATATGCTGAAGTGACATTAAGCATGTTGCTATGCATATGTGACATGCTTACATTTAGGATGTTAGTCTCTCTTGCTCTTTTGTTTGTGTACATCTAAGGCTGCTGAGAATTTAGTTTGTTTTAAGGTGTGTTCAGACTAGGTGTGTCAGTTTCAGTTATTTTTGCTTTCGATAGCCGACACACATTAACCGCTAACAAACAAACATTATATCAATCAAATTGTTATGTTTTGTGTTGTAAAGGTCTTGCCTAATTTTGTTTTCTGCTGGCTTTGCTGAAGTTTATTGCCACATTTTGATCAGGTCACGGGTAACCACTTGTTATCAGCCGATATTCATTCTAAATAATGTAGTTTGAATGGTGGGTTTGATCGGTGGTCTCTATAAAGACCGATCAGAAGAGCCGTCTCCTGTACTTACGCACCATTACTCTCCACATGTTCAAAAGTCTTGGACTTTTATGTGTCATCACTGACATTTGTAGATGTGTGTGAATTAATGTCTTCCTTATTATTGGACCAAAAACTAATTGTGAATTGAAACTGCTCGTGATGTAGTACATTCCTTTGTCCTAGTCACGTGTTTAGGGTTTATTGGATGTTAGAGCCTTGATTTCTATTTAAGTGATTCATGGAGGTCTTTTGGTTGTTTTGCTAGCCCTTCACCACATGGAAGTCAGAGGTCTAGGGTGAACTACAGAACAGCACTGCATGAACGGAGTTCAGTGCCGTCAGAAGGGTAGCTGCTCATCGTCCTGAAGACTGATAGGCTCCATCTGCTCATTACGCCGTCCAGCAGGCCATGGTGCTGATCTCTGATGAATCTCCCACAGAAGGTCACACAGCCGTGAGTTCAGTACTTGCATCCTGATACGAAGTGTGTCACACCAGCATGATATGCAGCGTTATGCCCCGAGTAGCTATTAATCACTGCTGGAGCTTCTCTATTGCTAGCCTGTTCCATGTTCAGTAGCACACTGACCTACTTATGTGGTCTACTGTTTGTGTCCTGACACAGAGGCAACAGAATGGGCCGATATATGAGAGCTTCATTATCGGAACCTTTTCCTCTGGTTTTCCTCTTTGACTCTGGGCCATTTCCATCAGCCAGCTTGTGTAAGATAAAAGATGTGTGGATACATGTACATATGTGTGTGTGTGTGTGTGTGTGTGGATTATGTGTGCCAGACTGCGTAGGCATACTAGTAATAGCTCCATTATGAGCGAGAGAGTCACAGTATAATTACATTAGTACAGGAAAACTAAAGTTTCTTCGTAAGCACAGCCGTCCTTTAGCTTTAAGATCAAACTCCAACACACACACACATACACACACATGCACACCTGTTGCCATCTCTTCCTACAAACTGCCCTAAATGCCATCTTATGTTCTTGCCAGAGGCGATCCATGTGTCCTCAATAAGCATCAGATTTCACATCACCAACCTGTACTACGAAATGGGGTCAACATTTAGGCTATGTCTAGTCAGGTAACTGGCATATTAAGCATTGAGAAGCGAAACTAACATCATAGAGCATCACTATGTGTCATTTCACAGTACACACACTTGGGACTAACAACCACTCTCACTCTTTTAAAGGGAACTAACTGGATGTTCTACTGACCAATGGAGCGTCTCATACACTTTAAGATATAGGTCATTTTAATGTCCTGTTGCAGTTATCTAGGTCATGTCTTTCAAGATTATTCAAGATCCTAATTGTTGCTTTTAGTTCCTATAGGGTCTTATAATCAAATATATTGACTGAACAGGAGAGAAGATGTTTTGTTTAACTGCTGTAATCTCAATTGATTATTTTACTTCATCAATGTTTTCTGCTCAATTACTTCCTCTATGGCCTCAGGCTTTACTGACAGTACTTAACAGAGTTGAGCAAAGGTATAAGATAGTTATGAAAGCCAATCGGCACCGCCCAACCAATGTTATGCATTATAGTAGCACAACTGTCAGGACTCAGATGAGGACAGAGTGTGTGTGTGTGTGTGTGTGTGTGTGTGTTTGAGAAAGTCACAGAGAGACGGGAAGAGAAGGTGGGAGGTGGACGGCAATGTTTCTGTAAGTTGTTAATAACTTACTCAGAACGCTGCTCACTTTTTGACCCGCCACTCGAACCCATGAACCCCCGAGCATCTCTACTGCCCATGTAGCTGCTGTATGTGTTCAATGTAGTCACAATGTGTCCCTGACCACCACCGGAGGTGGTTTGGCTGATTGGATCACAATCGTCCCTCAATGTGTTTTTAGGTGCATTTACATCTGTACTTCTGCGTGGTCAAGCACTATCCGACTGCAAACCGATCACCCAAAACACATTTTAATGCAAGGTGTAAAGGGGGTATAACAATCAGGGTACATCATAAAGGCAACTGAAATAAAAATAAAAAACATTAACCTACAACTAAATAATGCTATTATCTAATTTCTTGTTTCACTTATTTCAAGAAATTAGTTACATAACAGGATTGAACTCCACTGCACTTGGTTCAATCACACTCACCCTGTCTTAAGAATAGTTCGCCACCTCAGATTTTAAATCACATTCTGCAGCTGAATACAAGATTAGATGTTAACATGGACATTTCTCCCCGTGGACTGTGAAGTAGGGCGACACAGAGACCTCATTTCGGCTAGATAGAGCCATATATTATGTGGGTCAGTCTCCTGGACAGTTTTCACAGTTTGCATCCTCCTAGAAGGCATTGTGATTCCATATCTTGTGAATAAATGGCTGTAATATGTCTTGGCCTAGCTCTTGAGACTGTCTGTTCATATATCTCTCTGTCTGCTCATTGTGGTCCCTGTGGTTCTTGACGCACCTCCCAAATCCATCTTCTGTACCCACCTGATCTCGCATAGTTAATCTGGTGTTTTTAACATGATTAACACCTGAACAAACGAACATATGATTGAAATGAGCTTACAGTCCATGTTTAAAGGGTTGTTGTACTTACTGTTGTAATTTAACTGTACTGTATGCACATAATCCCTCTGAGGATTTTTGGTCAGTAGATTTATTTGATCAGAATCAGAACCGTTTATTGCCATATGTTCAACATACAAGGAATTTGACATGACAGGAGATGCATAACATTTAACAATCAACAACAATCAACACAGTGCAAAGTAGAAACATATTAAAATTTACAGAATTTACAGTTATTAGTTTTTTCTTGTACATTTGTGTGTCTTGAAGGACATGTTGAGAAATGTGCTTATTTCCTTTTTTGCCAAGAGCTAGATGAGAAGATCGATACCCCTTTCATATTTTTAATTTCAACGTAAGACTTTAGCTAGTAGCCAGTTAGCTTAGCATGAAGAGCAGAAACTGGGGGGAAACGGATCCCTACGTCTCGTTAAGAATAGAATAGTTCAAATAATTCTAGCATCAATAGGATCAATACAAAAAAAGGGATCAACTTCTCTCTTCTACACCGATTAGTATTTCAGGGGGTGGTGAAGTGGGCAAGTGTAAATTGGTCCCAACACTTCATTCCCCTGGCTGCTGTGATCCCATCACAAGATGGTCTCTAGTAGTAGTAGTTGTTGGTAATATTCATCCACAGACTTCAGATTATTCTGTTATTGATGTCAGTGAATGTCAGCTTGCATAAAAGCATCAAATCAGTGTGTATAAGATATGTTTTAAAATCACACACATGATTCAGACCTGCAGTTTACTGAAACTAGTGAGCAGCAGAAACAATGTTGACACTCAGTAGCCCAATTTCGAGCCATTTCATTTTGGCTGATAGGACCCTCTGCTGTCATCATAATCTTCCCTCTTGTTTATAAATTACAGCTGTTCTGACACTGAGAAGGGGAAAACAGAGCATTCCCTGAGGAACACAGATGGTGGTGGTGTGTGTGAGTGCATGTTAATTTGTGTCTTGTTATGCATATGTACTAGTTTGGGTGTACAATTATGAGCATCATGAACAAGAAAGAGACAGAAGAAGACCTCCTTTAATGGCAATAGCAACTGCACATCTGCATAAAGTAAATTGTCCTTTAACTATACTGTCATCTAAAGAATGTGTTATTGTGTTTAAAGGTGCTAAATTAAAACATTTTGAACGTTATTATAGCAGCAAACAACTGTGTGCTTTGTGAAGATATCGTGGAGTAATGGTGTCCTGAGCGTAGAATGAAGTCACACTCCCTCTTCTGCGTGTTGTAATCTAAGCTTCTCTGTACCTTGTTATCGTAGCCGGACCGACTGTAAGAGTGTTGTCAGTGCGTGTGTGCCCCACTGGCTTGGGGCCCACACCACCCTCTTTTGCATCGTGGTACGAGTAAGCGACTATTTTTCCTTTACACATGAAGAGGCCCACAAAAATGTTTTTGGTTCATAAAACTGTGGTGGTTCAAAATAGACTTTTGTACCACCACAGAGTCTAGAAAATGAATGGGAAACACTGTATTCACCGTGTCAAGGTGAGTCAGAGGCATTAGAAAAAGACAATAGTGTTGTAAGAACTAGCACACAGCACCAGGGAATCAGAACACGGCTTAATACAGCAAGAAGGCCGCTCATTGTTCAGCCTTGTATTGAACAGACTGCCCTGAGGGAGTAAGTGGTGGTGAGAGACAGGCAGAGTGCAGAGACAGAGTGCTCAGAAGATACTGGCCTACATTTTCTCCAGTGGAGTACTGTGTCAGCAGCACACACACACACACACACACACACATACAGGCATAAATGAATTTGTAAACCACGTATGTATACTGTCAAAATCAAGTTACTTACACATTGTCACACAGATCATGTCATGTAAATGCATTTCAAAACACGCGCGTGGATGGACCAGCTACATAAACAGAGCAAAGAGAAGCTCGGACACACAGAGGGAATGTGACTTCACTCTCTGCTCAGGACGCTCTTATTCCACCATATCTTTATAGAAAATAGTTGTTTGCTATATTAGTATTCTGATCTTCAAACTTCAAAGCTATTTCAGTGGTGCCATTCTATATCTATTTTTTTTTTGTTTTGGTAATGTCATCATTACTAATGCAACATGGCTATAGGTCAAGCTCAGAAGTGTCAAATTGTCAGAAAGAACAGTCACAGCCAACAAGAAAGGGATCATTTCAGGCAAATATTTTGGTATTACAAGATGAAACAAGTTCAGGAAAGCTAATATGTCCATGCTGTCTGCTAGGAGTGCCAAAGTATAAAAGTAAAGAGTTCCAGTATGTTATAAGCAACACTGTCAGAAACAAATGGAAGTAGTTCACAGACAAAAACCAGGTCAGATCACCTGCGTGGGCTCCTACACTTGTTCATATGCTGTTCACTTTGTGTGCATGTCAGTAGGAGTATCATCATGTGATGTTTCTGCTGGCTTTGAATACGCCCCTGACTTAGTGAGTCATCTATGATTAGCTGTTACAGCAGCTATAGGTTCTGCAGAGCATTTGTCTTCCTTCCACTGTCAATCGGTAGGAGTCTCACTAAGCGCTACATTGAGCTGTTTGTGTTTCTTGGATAAAACATGCTGCTGCTGTACCAAATCTATAGCAGCCTGCTGTCTCTGCTGCTCGCATGAAGGTAAATCTCAAAATGTTTGGCGATGGATACAGGTATAGGGATTTTTAGAAATCATAGCACACTGAAAGGCTACTTAGCCCACGATTATTATGCACAGCCCTATTAATATAACTTCATCAAGTTAGAAGCTGTTGTATACGGCTAGACACTGGAACTTCAAAGTGTGAAACACCATGTTGTTAATGGTGCAGTGTGTTTGCAATGTGGGATCAACAGTTGAAACTTTGTAGCTTGTTTACCTGCTGCTAAAATATTTATGGGCATTTAAGATATGCATATGCATTATTTCACGATGACTCATGAAATTCCCGAGGGACAATATCTGCTGTCAGATTAAAAAAAAGGTAGACATGCCTGAATCTGCCTTCTCCTCACCAACTGTCTTCATTATTGTACCTGTTGTATGTTGAATATGAACCAACAGGACATTTTTCAAAAAAAGCAAACTTATTTTAATGTCGGCACATTCAGGGGTCAAGGCTGATTGATATTGTTTTTTCTGTCTATGGAGCGTTCGCTACCTGCGTCGGCAAATTTGAGTGACACAAATGGGTCATGTCTACCGCAGAGCAGACAAAGAACACAGTCACAAATGTGTAGAACGAGAAATGCGAGGGCTCTCCGTTCACATGCATTGTCTTTTTTACCACCTCATTATAACCCTGAAGTGACTAAAAGCTTCCCCTTTTTCATGAGGATGTGTTGTCAGCTCTCCCTCATAACACATCAAACTAAAGGTCCTCTCTCATGTGAGCTGTTTAATAACTGAACCAGGGACAGACAATAACTAATGTCTGCAATATTACTGTACATAAAACAATAACACCTTTAAAAAAAAAAAGTGACATATAATTTATTTAGGAATGCTGATCACACAAAAGAAACAAAATGTCAACGTTGTGAAATAATGTAGAGACAAAAACAACCAGAAGTTTACTGTATTTGTGTCACAGGTGTGTATGAAAGTCATTGAGTCGAACATTCATTAAAGAAATGTTTGGCTGCTTTCACAAACCTGATCATTCTCACTGCACACCATCTTGAATCTCCAGTTATTTTCCCAAGTTAGCCTACACACAGTTGTGTTGGTGGGTAAAAGTAACACAAAAACATGGGTTAACACTTATTTTTTTCTTCCCATAATTTCAAAGGAGGTTGCTGGAAATAACTACAGATATGTCATTTGATACTTATTATAAAGGGAATAGAGAAAGTGTTTGATTCCAATTAATACTATCTATTCATTGCTGGATTGGGGTTATTGGCCTAAGACAGAAGGAAGTGGAGGTACTTTGTTGCTGCCCTATGTGCCAGCCGGCGCAATGGAGATGAGTGAGTGATTCATTGCTGGCATAACCCAGAGGGTCTTTTAGTCAGATCACAGGAGATCAAAGTTATCTACAGGTAAGAGTAATATATATATTTCAAAAGGATGAGTAGCCCATAATCTACCGCTTTGCAATATGCCAACCAGAGCAACATGTACTTTTTTAGATTAGTTCCATTTGCCGGTGGTTTCAGTTCTTTAAACTACATTATAAATGCCAACTTAAATAAACTTTCAATGTTTCTGTGAAATTCATCACATTGAATTATTAATTGCATTTTTCTTGTTTTTTTTCCCACTGTAATAATGCAGTTGTGATCAAGAATAACTCACTCTACTGGCATAAAAAGACGCTCATAACAGCAGTTGGCAGCAGAGTTTTCACAGTGTCCATGTCTGCATTTCTAATTTTTAAACATAGTTAACATAGTTAAAATACAATGTTCTTCAGCAAACCAGTATCCTTTCCTCAAATGCACCACTATGAAGAATTGCTGCCTAAAGAATGGAAATCAATCAAAAACTACAAAATCTGGAGAGGTCTTTAAAACAAAGAACAAATCAAAATCAATGCAATAAAATAAATCTACCTGTCGTCTCGTCAACACAACCCTTGATGATAAAGATTGTGTTTCGAAGTTGTAAAGTGCAATTGGAAACAGAATGGAAGTTAATTTTCATTTGTTACTATGATTCAACGGTTCCGTGTGTTTTAGAGCTGTGGAGATTGAAGATGGTTGTTCTGAAAGAGCCTAAAAAAGTATTGACCAGCTTCAGGGGGAATTCAAGAGAAGCGCATTGATTTGCGATAATGTTTATTCTCAAGTGCCTTCAGTCTTAGACTGCACTGATGGTGAAGGGCAGGCTATTCAGCTGCTTCACTCTCACTGTGTGTACATGTGTGCATCAGACAATTTCCTGACTGATGAGTATTGAGTGTTGACTTTTCTTTGAATGTGGCAGTTCAGTGAGCACAGCAAGAAAACTCCAAAATGGGTCAGTGTCTACATGGCCGCTTCACTCTTTCTGAAACGTGCGTGTTTGGCCTCAGCTCAACTGCAAACAAAGGGTCACAAACAACAGCCACAATTGTTAACCTTTATCTCCCCGACCCCTCCTGCAGTCTGTTGTAACCCCCACCCCCACCGCCCCCTTTGCTACCTGCAGAAAAATGTTTAAAAGGAACTGTGGCAGTTTGTTGTGCCTTGCGCCCGAGTGGCTCCGGAAAGAGCCTTATTCAGTAAGGTGCTGTGTTGGTCAATCAAATACAGGCAAAAAGAGGTCCTGGTAGCTTATTTTGTAACGTGAACAGTGTATTTCTACTCTTAAATCTGAAAATAAGTGGATCTGAACTTCGGAAATCATATTTCATCTTCTCTGTACCTGAAGAGATGTGTGCCAACTATTGCAGCTCCTTGCATTGCTGTAACGGGGGGCTTTCAACCTGACCAAGATTTATTCTACAATGACACGGTTGAACGCCATATTTGTAGCAACTTTTATGGGCCCCATGGCCGGCAGGGGGCGGAGTCTGTGACTACACTGGCATTATAGTGGTCAAGAAAAGAAACTGCCGTATAAGTCAAAATCCTCCCTTCCAAAAAGCAGGAAAAATATTTTCCCTAAACTATATTGTAGATGTCATAGTCTCCTTTTGGGTTCCAGCATCAGTCCGGTGCCTACATCAGTCATCCGGTATAGGAGAGTTGCAGTTCCCATGGTAGATATATACAAGTCCATCACAGCGATAATACATCTGAAACACGTCTCCGTATCCGTGGTCCCGCCACCAGGTGCACAGCTGCCGGTTCCACCCACAGGCCAACGTATAAAACAGTTCAGGATGCTCCATGCCGATCATGGTGAAGAAGTCCTGGTCCCCCAGGTGGCCCCTGAAGCGATACTGGTCTGCTAGTTTGGCCACGTTGCTGGGCTCCAACAATTGGTTATAGAGCGCCGAGTCCCTCATAGCACCTAGGTCCAATAACATCACGCCGCTGTTGAAGCCCGGGAGGCCGTTAGGAGGAGGATCGCCTACTCTGGTCTGAGGGTTCTCCTTACGATACTGCCAGAAGGTGTGTCTAAGGAAAGGCAGAAAGGTTCACGTGAAAATGATGAAAAGTGTTCTGTCGGAGAATAAAGTGCCCACAAAGGAGGCATGGTTTACTGTCAAGGCACATCCATCTTTTGAATAAACACAGTAGCTTGCCAGCTAGTCCTTATCAAACTTATAGCACCACCTTTACTGCAAGGACACATGAATGAATCTTGCTTTCTCTCTTTCTGGTCACTGGCACTAAGGCTGATCTGAATGCCTACAAAGTTATTGTTATCTCTCAGGCTCACTGACAACAACCAAACCCAAGCAAAACAGATATTTTATCAAGAGATTTATTCAAGTGGTTAAGACAAATGTAGGATAGCTGGAACATGTAGCTGCAGAAAAGTCAGGAATAATGGACAGCTCTGTCTATGTAAAACACAACCACTTTCTTGTGTTGTTGATTAAAAAGAGTGTCTTTCTGAACCCGAACTCATCCCTCTGCAAGGTCTGGAACTTGTACATCGATGGTGAAATGTCTCACTCGTATGTATGTTCGGGCTGTTACACATTTAGAAAAGTGAGGGTCAACTCTGTTTCAGTCCACGTTTGCTGAACAAACAGCACTGGCCAAAAACAGGCTGGTCCAAGAGTGTCAGACCGTGCCCGAGTGCCAGACGCTTGTGCCAACTCAGCACCCTGTTCTGCCAACTCAGCACCCTGTTCTGCCAACACACCAACTCTTAAGTAGCTAAATGACACACAGAGCTTCACTCAAAACAGCATTTGTATGCACAGTAGTCACTTGTGGACACAAAAGTCAGACCTTTTGTGGGATTTATTATTATTATTATCATCTTATTTTAAAGTTTACAGTGGCGAGAACAGTTTTAAGCTCAGTGTCATAGATGGCATGCAATACAAGTGTAATAAAGGATCACTATTTTTGGCACATTTTTGGAATAGCATATGAGCCAGCAACAGTCCTTTTGCATTTGTGGGTTGCATGGTAAATTAGATCTAGGTTACAATATATGGGAGTTTTCTAGAGTGGGATCAGTTGTTCAAAGTATACTTAAAGTAAAGTTGTGAGAAAAACAGTGCGTAATATTCACACTAAATGTTTGTGTACGTACGCGTAAAAGTATTCTGATTTATAAAACCTTGAGTACAAGGTATTAACGTATTAATGATGGAGTTAGTTGCCTTAAAAGACATGGCGATAGAAGACAGACCGAGCTGTTGCAGGGCAGTCCATTTAAAAATCACGTTAATAAAATCAGCTGCGGGTTCTGTTGATGCAGATAAACGCATGTGGGAAAAAATTGTGTGGAATAATTATAGTTCATATTGTCGAGGGTACCTCTGTCCTCTTTGTGCAGCTTGATCAAATTTCGTGGGAGCAGCAGATTCTCTGAGTCACCCTTTGATATTATAGCCGACCTATATTCAGCAGCTGTAGCTTGTCCACATAGTTTTATACAATCTGTTGGTTTGGTAGCCAGGGACTTGTGGCCTCTGTGGAGCATTTGTCATCTTTAAGACATATACTGGGTCTACGTGCCCAGAGACACATTCAGGGTGAGTAAGTCAGTAAGGGAACATTTAGACTTTTCCATTCTGCTCCACTTTCTTATGTCAGAACAGCAGAATACTGCATTTGCTTTTAAGTGGCATGGTGGACGTAATATAAGACTGACAGCATAGCGGTTATTGAGACATGACAGACAGTAAAGCCAGAGTGAACTGAAGTATATGAAACAGGTTTTTGTGGTTAGATATTAAGAGATAATTTACACATAGACACAATTTACTTTTGTTAATTATGATATATTTGTACTTATATTTAATTTTTACAAACAATACTGCAGCTAGGCTTTTAATAAACCTGATCATTAACATTTTAATACCTCCACCTGGAGGATCATGCAATCGGTTGCGTGCATGCGTACGTCTGTGAGTGAGTGTGCACCTCTGTGTCTGTCCACGATTAATCTCCTATTCTCCTGCGGAAAACTGCATAATATTTTGGGTGGCCAGTTATGGCTGCATGCCCAAGGACCTCTCCCGGATTCGGTGACTCCCACTTTCTCAAAACACCTTTTATTGCCTGTTTTATACTGCCATTGACTGCCTGCTGACTCCTCACTCACTACTCTGATAACACAGCAGAGTGCATCGCCAAACCCCAGCTGCTACTCTGCGCCCAGAGAAACAGTGGGGTAAAATAGTTTGCATACTTTTGTTTTGATGATGTGTTTGGCGAACAGAACTTCCAGTACACGCATTCCTGAGTACCTCGCTGAGCTTCCAGCTGGCCTACAAGTACGTCAGCATTAATGTGCGGCTTGATTGGTCAGTGGGCTAGCTTGACTGTTGTGAAACTAGCCAGCAGAACTTTGTAGTGGTAAGAGTTACAATTTAAAGATATGCAAGACGTTTTGACACGACATTACATTTTTAGCGTTTTGGCATGTTTGGTGGTGACAATTCTCTACCGCCTCTGTCGAGCGGACATTTTCAGCCCTCAAACGCGTTAAAACGTATTCAAGAAATACAACTGGGGAGTGTCATCACTGACGTCCATGAATCGAGAAGGACCTCTGGCTGGAACTGAACCGCACCGATGTACTGTACAACCGTGGTATTGAACTCTTTTTAATGAAAGAAAGGAGGATGGACTTTGTCTTTAAGTCAACAGCAGCTTTGGTAAGTGAACTGCTTTTGTTAATTTTTCTATCGTGTCGTTTTTATGATATGGTTAATATTGTTCCCTCTGATGTGAATAATATTTGAATGGTGCCCTTGAGTGTGTGGTGGAATGCGTGTTTTAGTGCCACGGTTTTGCTTGAATGTGCAGAGGCCTGTTGAATCGTGTTATTTGGGTTTTATGTTATTCTACCTGCTTTGTTGTCATATACTGTAAATATATGTGACTGGTTCTTGTGAGTTTGTTCTCGTCATTGTGTTATTTACATTGATTTTGACTGTATGCATTGCCCGTTAATGACGCAGCATCCCGTCATGCTAGCATCATAATGAGGTAATTAGGAGGTGGTTCAACTGTAGTAGGACAACACTGAAGGCCCAGGTATAAAATACATGGCCCGCTACTGCAGTATAAGGATCATCTAAAATTGAATTATTAACTTGCACATTAGTCACATTTTTCAGATGTAGTTTCTCCTTCAGCCTTTGAAAAGTGGTGAGATTTGAAGGGCAAGTACAAAATGCAGCCATGTTCTCTGTCACAATGACCTCAGTTTTTCTGTTTCTTTGTACCAGTACACTTAAACAAGACTAGAAGGGGGTCTGGTTCTGAGGTACACAAATGACAGAGCAACACTTGGGAATAAGTGGGATGCATCACACAACTGTACACAAAGCAAAAAGAGTGTGACTTGCTTCTGGCTAATGTCTCTCATTGTGTGTGTTTGTGGTTTTGGCTATGACACCTATGTGAGTGGGCCTTGTCTCTTGGGCTTTTAAAACATTACAAATGCAGCTGCTGGGAAAATACATTCTTTTTAATAATGAGCTTTTTCTGTGGCGAGATGTGTTCTGAATGCGGCTGGTGGGAGGATGCATTCTCCAGCACAATGCTCTGTCCATTAGCACCTTAACAGTGTGCTGAGAGACAGAGCATTAGCACACTGTGCTGAGAGACCTCTCCACTAAACACAGGAAAACAACTTCAGGTGAGGGGGATTGTACACAACACTTTGCTAATACCAAGTTTGAAAATTAAAATATTACAAAGTCCATTACCCATAATGGTTTACAAGCCAGCTCACTGGGCTCACTTGGGTTTTTTCAAATGTTCACTCTGGCAGCACCATCTTCTAAAGAAAACACTTAATACGTACGTCGACAGTGTAACCATGCTGGTGTGTTTTGGGGTGCAGTGCATCCAGGGAATTTCCAGCCAAATCTCCCATTGCTCTGAATAAAAGACAACCCTGGTTATAAATTCAAAAATGAACTACTTCCATTAAAGCATAATGTAAATCCCACATTTGGTAAGCTTGTCTCTCAGTCATATATTCGCTCCAGTGAGGCTCTTAGAAGCAGTCTAAATAATATTCTTTGGCTGTTACACACTTTTCCCATCATGAAATTCTGTTTCTGTTTTTAATAAAAGAATCAAAGCATGTTGTACTGTTAATATCGATCAACAACCCAGTCAATACTACACTATTTATTTTGCATGGAACACTTGGCTTTGTATCCAGAAATTACACCTGACATTACCGGTCACCACACTTTGAGAAAAGAATAGATCACTACTGACTGGGTGGATGACAATATCCATGACAGTTTCAGTTACTTTTTAAATTTCCTTTTAAAAAACAAGAGAGATGGAAAAGCTGGTGCTGGAATGTGCTTCAAAACTCTGAACTCAAATATGCTGGTAGAACGAGATGTTGTCCTTCATCACACTGCACATGGTCACACACACCAATAGTGGTCTGAAAAGACAGAGAACCAGTTGTGACAGTTAGTGTGAAAGTTTTGTTAGCGTCCCTTTATTTTCAAACGGTGAGGTTGTGCATGCTAAGATGCACGATCTCCTGCTATGTTGCTGTGTGTTTTTAAATGAGTGTGTCCGGGGCCACAGGAACAACAGCGGCAGGGGATTCCCAGGGTTAGTAACCCATTGAGCCAGTGCAGTGGCAGGGTAGAGATACAGATCTGTTTGGAGATGCTGGTGCCAACTGGAGTCTGGCAGGAAAACTACATTTCACTTAAAACTACTTACGCGGAAACCTGACATCACCAACATTTAAAGTACGCAGACTACGCTTTGTCTTACATGCACACACACACAAATACTAATTTCCACTGATGACATATTTCCCAACTTCTTACATCATGACTACCATGTTAAGGAAAACCAGATCAGCAGAGAGAATACTGCCTGTCATTTTAACTGGTCAACAGTCAGTCTTGGCTAGAAGTTGTGCTGAATGTTTTCAACACTGCTACTAATATGTGTGTTTTTATGCCATTCTTGTGTATTATTTTGCCAATTCAGGTGTCAGAACTCAGAATTGCACAGACGTGCACAAATATATTCACATCCTCTTACCTTTTACTGATGTACTGTAGTGAAATGCTGCCCGGCTTTCATAAAGGAGAGCAGCGCAGTAAAGGATGGGATTTTGTAGCTTTATTGTAGCCGATAGAAAAATATGCGGGAGTACCGATCTTCAGGATCAGCTTGGGACATCTCTATATATCACATACATAACATTGAGGACAAAGTTTTTTACGACGTTATGCATTATGAATAGCAGACTATTATAGCAACACTTCCGCATGTCGTTGTTTTAAGGGCTTCCACTCAGTAACATTTACTGTCACACATTCAGTCTAGGAATTACGCAAAAGCTAAAGCACGCTAGGATGACTCTGGTGTGACAGAGCTAAAGCGTCATAGTATTCAGATTTAGGAATGTTGTGTTGTGTGTAATGAATCAACCCCCTAACTTACTTGAAGACAATCTAATCATTTACATCCCTATTCTTATTCAAATATTACATTACAACCTTTAGTTGGGAAATGACTGAAATGGCTGGTAACACTGCTGAGGTTCTTGTGAATCTGAGCCTGTATGAGAGACTTCTTTCTCACTTAGAAACTATGAGAGAAAATAACTGTGAATGTGCAGATGAGGCCCATTAAAACCCCAATCCATCTGGGGTTAACAACAGTGAGTGAGATTAGTACGGTGGCTGTTATACCATTAGTGGGAAAGAGATAAAAACGATATTGCTAATGGGTCTGCTCTTACATATTTTATGCATAAATATAGCAGATCAGCACTGCAAAATAAACTTTGCTTTTGACGATCTTTCCAGCTTTTTAAGCAAGATTAGGCACGAACCAACTCATAGAAAAGAGACACTAAGATCTGACCAAGCATTGAATTATTGGTACGAGACAGTTCTTGATTGTCCATTCTTTGGACACATTTCAGTCTCTACTCACGAAGCATTGCGTCTTGATACTCAGCCCTGTTCACAACTGCACTACGACATGTGTAGCTGGAATTAATTAAATGAATGTATAAACAGCCAAATGTTGGACTTCAGGGAAAATTATCTATTTAATTCCTCCCCGTGTAAGACCAGGGTTCCATATGTTCAAAACTTAACTTGTTTCTATAGACCTTTGGTTAAACACATTTTTAATCACAAAGTATTTTGTGTGACACTGACAAATTTGCATCATTAACATGTGACGTGTTGTGCCACACTGCCTACCTGTAGACTGGCTGCATCTCTCTGGCGATACCTATTACGGCTCCTGGAGGAAACTGGTCAAATTCTTGGAAAAGGTCCCTGATGTTGGTCCGGTATTTCAGGTCCAGGTCTAGCTGCACTATGCGCGTGAGGCCTGAGAGAAGAGCACAACAGGTTGAAAAATACATCCAGGATCATTCTAAACATGTGTAAACTGATTGCCGTTTGATTGCTTGCTCTATGTCAGTGAATGATGATTAATTTTTTACCAAGTTTGATTAGTGACAAAAACGAGTTCTTTTTTTAAATTATCCCAGGAAATGTGCTTCCGAGTTAACTCTGCACGTAGGTTGAGCTTCATCCAGCGACAGACTAACCACCCCTTCCAGGAATAGACGTGAGAGGCATTAAGAGCAGACTGAACTCGACTGTTGACAAGCTTAACACAATTAAATGGGTGCTCAGCGGTGGTGTTGTTCATTTTGCTTTCTGTAATGTTACAATTGACCTTAACAAAGGAAATTGCATGGAAATGTCTATAAATTGTGGGGAGAAATGTCTAAAAAGTTGAGCACGACTGTAAAATAAACACTTGGCAGCTGTGAGTTAACATACAGCAGATTTTTAACGCGGTTGTTTGTGGATGAAATGGCAACAGCAGTATCCAGGATATTCAGGCCCTCATCTGTTCATTGTTTCAGCTTCCTATGTTTTGCTGGTAGGCATGGTGACGAAAGGTTGGGAAATACTCAGGAATGTTGTGTCAGGGGAACATGATTATTGACTTATTGAAAACAATTGTCAGCTTTAGACAAACTGTCAAATACAAAAAAACACATTTATTGGCAGAAGGCTAGTTGATCTGTTTCAGTTGTTCAAAGCCTTGTTGAGATCAAGCAAGCAAGTAAGTGTAGAACTTGTAAGTGAATTATAATTCCAGATGCACAAAATGTGTACAATACGATACGGAGGGAAGATATGTTACAGTCTTACATCCAGTACTTGATGTTCATGGCAGCGTGTGAGCTGCACAGTTGCTCGACTGATCTTGAAGCTTATGTCCCATCTTTATGTTGTACTGTTTATCTACTACGGTTTTGCAATGTACACCAGTGTTGCTTAAAAGTCATAAATCAGCACAGCAATTATGTCTGGTTTCTATAATTTAGTATCTGGCAAAAAATATGCATGTAGAGACTGTTAAAAAGTTTTCAACCTAATACTTACTAGTCAGAAATGTCAGCAAATTAGTGTGAGGGTTAAAGTATGAAAATGTTTATTAGCAGTTTAATCAACCCAATTATCCATCCCAGTCTTATATTGGGGTAAAAAAAAAAAAAGATGTCCAATGCAGGAAAGTACTCACAGGGCCAGACGTCACAGACAAACAACCTAATTTGAAAAAAAAAAAAAAAAAAAAAAAAAAAAGGAGGAACTTCGGCCTTAACAAAGCCAGCTGAAATGCAAAACAATGAAGGGTATGAATGCAACTATGGGGACTATCACGTTTGCTGCAAAGATATTCGAGTGGTGGATTCTGTTGAAACAAGTGGTGGAAAAAGAAGACTCAGCAGTGCGGCGGCGACCTGTTTTCTGTGCTCTCCAAACAAGGAAGTTGCCATCACAATGCCTTCATGTACCATGGCAACAGAGAGGGGCTTGGACGGGTAATCTCCGAGTGGTCACCGCTGTTTGTTTGTACTAACGGGGCTTAACTAGTGGCAAAATAACAGGAAGAGGGCCTTGAGTTGTTCCAACACTGTGGTGTGGTGGGTTTGATGTTACATCAGTGACTCAACACACAGTCCTGTGAAGGTGAAAGTATGGCAGTGTTTGATCACCGCATATTATGATTTCAGTAAAAAGGAGATTTAGTGTATTACAAGACTGCGGTGTTTGCTGTACTTCCTCACATCATACATTTTGTATTTTCACCACTGCCATAAAGCCATCATTCTCTTCCATAGATGCCCAATTTATTTGTTTTAGGCTAAAATGGCCCGTACGATTACTAAAGTGCTGTTGCACTGATGCGCACTGTGAAAAGAAATCCAGTGTTTAAAAGCAGCATATGTTCATTGCAAAACCATTTCTTGCTAAGCAGAAGCATAAAGGGAAAATTTTAATCTGTGGGAGACAGATTCCGCAGTTGCTGTCAATTAGTGTATAAGTATTTCAGGCTCGACAGCTTTCCTCGTTTATAGAAAGCTGGGTATGAGACGAGAGAGAGTGACAAAGAAAAGAAGACAGAAGGTGCATTTCTCTTATTTGCATCTTTTTCTTATCCCACTTGTTATCTCTTTCTCTTCCTTCAATTCCTCTCTGCAGCAAGTAAGAAAGAGAGGAAGCAACAGGTAGCTACACAGATGAGCGTCTGTGTAGCTACCTGTTGCTTCCTCTTTTCTTGCCGGTCACTGTTTGATTGGTGCACAATTGCTCTGTACTATATTGTTCACCTAAAGTTTTAAAGCCGAATATTAGACTGTTGAGTTTACAAGATGATCAACGCACACGTATAACGACCTCAATGAAGCCAGTGTTCCCAAAAATCAAAAATGAATTATATTTGTAACTATTTCAATTCCTCACACAACAACTTTGGTATCAACATTTTATATATATATATATTTTATTATATATAGAAATGTGAGAAGTCGTAGTCCTTTTGACTTGTTGACTATTTGGAGGTGAAAATAAAGACAGTTATAGCCCTTTGTTTTCATTGTGGGCAATTTTCACTAAAACAATAGTGTTTTTTTCAGTGGAGTCGGTTGTTTAAACTGACTTTCACTCTTTGTTCTTCCCAGCAGCATTTAGAAAACCCAGATATCCTTAACGATGACAGATCTCTGCAGATTTCTAGATCTTGTGAGGATGGACATAGACGAACCAAAAGGATAAGTAGAAATGGCGAGGGTTAAAATAAATCTTGGCGGTTGCGTTGGAGCTATAAAGTTATTGCAGGAATAATGTTGTTCGTGTGGCTTCGAGCTTGCCTGAGGCTCTGGTCAGATCAGAGTTAACCTTCAACTCAGCCACAGCATCAAAACAACAGAGACACTGTTATCTAACGTCACATTCTTTTCAGGAAAAAAGTAGGTCAACGTCATTAAGCCCTTATGTTAATCTGATGTGAGCACTTACTATTTGTAAGGGTCATTGTTGTCTGCTTTCACCTGAAATTGATTTTCACCATCATTGAATATGCAAACGTCGACGGGTTTCCTGCTGCAACAAAAAACTGTTTACTGCTGTTTGTAGTAAACAGCAGAGTCCTCTAGTCACAAGCACTTGTTAGAAAATGCTTCTAGGAATATAAAGAGAACACAAAAAGACAAATGTGCTACAGATCATGATCAACATTAAACAAAAATAAAAAAAATCCTTTAAATCCCTTTTGTCATTATTAAGTAGAATTTTTAATTATTCGTAACTTTTCCCAATATGATGAGTTTGCTTCAGCTAAACAATGAAAATATGCCGTCTAGTCTTGTTGACCATGAAGTAAAACTATGCCTTTTTAATATATTGCTGTCTGTGTGTTCATAATTCTCAAACCAGTAAACAGATCTGCTGCAGAATATACAATTTCAGCCCCGGAGCAATCTACTCCAACAACCAACTCATGTTCAACCCTTGCTGTCATTTTATATCAATAAATGCGTGTTGAAGCGTTATTATCTCTGTGTTATCAGCTCTGGAGAAACAGGATGGGAGGTCTGATTATAGCAGGTATGTCTTCTAAAGTCAGACTTCAGTGTTTGCAAAAGGAAGTAGAATGTGTTTTGGAACTGATAGAAATTACTGAAAGATTTTTTAAATCACAAAAGCAAGTCCGTTTTTGGTGCTTGATCTTGGAATTTCACGAGGCCCTGATGGGAGGTGAAACAGATGGATGTCAAGGACAAAGAGAGAACCTTGAAACTATTGCAAACATGTTTGACATCCATCTGCTGTGTAATTTTAGGCTTGCGTGACAACAAATAGTTGAGCTACTACCTCGCTTTTCAGGTACCATCTTTCTTATGTTAGCAAAGCGTTTCACACATCAGCAGCGCCACTCAACCTGAGGTGGAAAATAGAAGTCAAGGTTTTAGGGGAGACTCAAGTCCCGGCATGTCGAGACCTCTACAGGGGAAACAAAACACGGAACACCTCTCCACCAACAAAAACAGTGTTTCTTAGGAACCTTATCACAAATGACAACATGTTTCCATTGTGCAATTATATTTCTCATCCTCTAAGGACAGATGGTATGAAAATAGAGTCCTCCTTTTTGAAGCCATTTGTCTACTGACTCAACTGCTCAACACTGTCATGTACACAGGACATCACAGATGTATTCCTTTAGCAAATATATTGTGCTATATTATTGACAGCTGTTTTAAAATAACAATATTTTTATATGATAAGCTAAAAAGCTATTAGATGAGTACCAAATAGACTCCATAGGTCTAATAAAAACTACATACAGACCACAAAGATATCTTACCTCCCATTTATACTGAACAAACACTTTACTCTTCAGGCTGTATAACTGGTCAAAGTGCTGACAATTTCCTCAACCTCTTCCCTCTCTTTTAACGACCAGATTAAACTCAGAACGTCGCCCACATCACAAGTTAGAGGATGTTACATTTCAAGCCCTCCCACGCGCAGCTGATATTTATATTCATGGATATCACGTTTGTCTGCAATCATAAATGATGTTCCGTGTCTCCTGTGATGCTCGCTGAATGAAGACTTTCAGGAAAATTGTACCCCCACTCCCTCTGTTAAGACAACCACATTATGCCCTTTAGAGATAAGAGGATTCTTTAAATAGAAACGTGTGACCATTTGGACACAAAGCAGACGGCTCATGTGGTTGATCGATAAGCATTTCAGGGACACAAAGTGAGACACTGTTACGGCCACAGCCGGCACCCTCCCATGTGTCTAACCCTTTTAGTGTTTGATTTTTTTTTTTTACGTAAGCCAAGTCAGATGTGTGGTACCCTGTACGAAATTGGTTCTGGCTATGCACTGCCCATCCCACTTCCTGCTTGGATATCTGAAGAGCCTGATTTGAGCGGCAACCAGTCCAGCTACGTACATGTATTTGGCCTGTTTGTTAGTCGGGGGCAGCTGGGATATCACGTCGTGGTGTTCAGACTAATAGATGTTGATTGTCGTTTGTGAATTAATATCGAGGTACTTATTGTTGTTTCTGATAACACACACACTAATCATTTTATTGTCTAGAAACACTAGGAGCAGGGGTGCTGTTCAGACTGTTTTTGGTTTTCATAGACTAAGCTCAAATAGTGACGTTTTAGTTCCTTTTTGGTAAAGTAGCAAAGTAGTAGTTAGTTACTGTATGTATTTATTTGATTTGAACAGCATCAACATGCCCTTTTTCCTTTTTAGTCCGCCTCTTTGTTTGTGATTTATCCAAGTTGCTTCCTTGTAAATAAAATAACTTTAATATACCAATTCCACCTGTTTTTTATATTGCTGAACCTCGTGAGCTGGGTCGTTCCAGGCATAAGACATACACCTTCAGCTTCGTACAAGGGACTACTCGGGGGGGGGGGAGAAGAATGTTTGTCGCATAAAAACACCTGATGCCACACTTGCAATATGTTTTAAATTCAGTCAAAACAACTTTGTGCTTCACCACAAATGACTTTTCACAGCTGACGGCTGAGTGAAAACTACACACTCAATAATTTCCCCACCAAAGCACACTCTTTTATTTATCATCCTGTTTTGCTTTAAGACATCATCTTTTCCCTCTTAAGTGACAGCCTGCTTTTCCAAGTAATGTAAATAGCATACTTTGATGTGCTAAAACCTGAATCTGACCACAGGGGTTGTCAAGCCATCAAATCTGGACATGCAGCATCTTTCTTTGGTGGAAAGCTAATAAATTAAAAAATAGAAATTCCAGCTCAGGCCGATTTCTAATACAGCCCCGTTTATGAAAACTGCTGAAAAACTCTTCGAGTGGAAAACACACCACAATACCCTCTGACCATGAAATGTGAAGCCCTATTAAAATGTTTTTATTATTATGCCTGAATCATAACTTTAAATAAAGAAACCTAAAATGTGATGGTGTTCTGCTGTCTGCAGGACAGAGACTTCAGGTTTCATATGTGTGCCTCTGGCGACTTTTCATTCAAAGCTCATTGGTTTGATTAATTTCTGTACGGATGCCCCATCCTGCACATCCACTGAAGTAAACTACAACGGAGGAGATCGCCGCCATCGGTCAGCACCAACGCAGGGGGCACTAATGTGGGCAGCAGCGACAGAACACATCCTTCCTTCCTCGCTCCCCGGGGCCTCTGCAGCATGCCATGTGTCTGTTAGATACCTGCCCGCGCTGCCTTTTCCAGCTGTGCACCAGCAGTGCCAGAATAGAAAAGGGAGTATCTGAGTGAATTTAAAATATGGTCTACCAGAGGAGAAGAAGAATCATTTTGAAGCTATATTAAGTAACATACAGTATTTATGCAAAGACATATGCTTTTCTTGGATGTAATAGATTGGTCTTTTTTCAGCCAACTGTTTTTACTGGGTTTTTTTATAGTCTCTTTCTTGTTTGTGTATTTTGCATGATGGAAAAACTCAAAATAAAGTATAAAAAAATAAAGAAAAAATATCACCAACAAGCAAGTCACCAAAACCTATTAGGTCATCTTTGGACTGACTTTGGATGAGACACGCATAGATCAGCCATTGTTTTAAATCTAAAGCTAAATCTGTGGTTATTTAACTGACAAAAGAAATGGGACAAAATATGATTTTTCTTACCGTCAGGCATGATGTGATGCATGGCAACAGACAGGAAGAAGATGGCGTCGCTGTAGTAAGCACCAGAGCCAGCGCTGAAGTGCTTCTGCATGGCCTCCACAATAGGGAATAGCTTCTGTGTGAGAGCCACCACATCATGAAAGAACACCTGCAGATCAACACAGTGGAATCACGTTAGCACAACAAAGTCCCATATGCAGTAGCGCTGGAAATATATGGAACTACTAAAGCTATTTATGAGACTGTGGGTACATATCACCCCATAGGAAGATCTTCTGATATCACTAAGTTCACGAGTTGTGATAAACGCCACCGTTGGAGCCCATGGGAATGTTCTTTTAAATAGGCTTTCCAGTGGACAATGAGTTCAACCCATGTACTCCTTTGTGCATTTCCTTTAAATTCAGAACAAATCAAAAGGTATATTTAAAAAATTTGATATTTTTATAACACACTGCCTTGTGTCAATTCAAAAAGTTTTGATTGAAAAAAAAAAAAAAAAAAAAACAACGAAAGGCCATCTTCTTGTTTTTCCTGCCTCTCAGGCCTGAGCGTTAAGCTGTGAAGCAGCAGTCTCTGCTCATGTACATGTACAGTAGATATCTCTACAGATTACTGACAATAGGATTTTTTAAAATATAGTAAACACTGATTATCATAAAAGCTTTCCTGGAGGAGGAACAATAAATGTGTTGGTTTGGGACGAACAGTATTTCCAAAAAGAGAATCTGGCCTTTTACTGGTCAAGCCTGACATCAGTAAGCGTGTATATGTTAGAGGCCTCCGATGAAACATGGACAATATCATTTAATGATCCCTGACAGATTAAAGTAAACCCCCGGTCATTTGTGGAAATAAGGGCTGTCCTAGACCGCTGTTAGTAATGTGACGTAATTGCACATAAATCACTGCGGTGGGAAGAATACGTGATATTAGTCCTGATAAATAATTCTCACTCACTGGGACTGCAAAAGGACACATTTTCATTTTATGTAATGAGCTATACGAGTTGCATCACAGCACTAATATCAGAATCCATGTTTGCCGTTTCATATGAAAGTACGCATTTGGAAACATTACAAAAATGAACACTACACTTCCACTTTTTGGCTCTCTGGTTTCCCCGTTTCTCTATGCAGGGAAAAAAACTTTCAACCCAAAGCAAATGCTCAGTGTTTTGGTTGAAAACTTGAAGCTCACGGATCAACAAAAAGACTCCAGTCTGCGAAACTCTTATTTCTAAAGAATTAAATAATTCTAAATCAACTCTTAAATACAGAATGATAAACATGGCAAGTTTTATATGTACATAACTTTAACACAACAGTATCCTTTCAATTAGACATTCATTTCCCAATCAATAACCTTTATCGACTTTGTGTGGTCAGAACACAAAAATCATGCACCCATATTTCACTCTAGTTGGAGAACCTTGGAGGGACATTTGTTTTAGAGGATCTCTACAAAGTAATATAAACACCGACTGTTTTTGTAGTGCTGCTAATTCACTTGTGATATTAAACTGGTATTCATATCACAACACTGTGTCCTCCGTGCGAATGACTGAACAGGAACGAGGCACACGACTCAAGTATGTGGTGTGTGACTGATGGTCAGCGGTAATGAGCACAGCCTCTGGGCAGCGTGACTCTGTGGGCTGTTTGTTGCGACTGTCAAGTGGGTCATTGAATTTACCCCTGTTGAGAAGTGATGGAGGCTAAAATTCTTGCATAACCGCTGTCTTACCCTCACGCTCCTTTTAGATGAATAATTGAAAGAAATGAAGCTCAAGTTAAGCAGACAAGGATGTCTACACGCTCACACACACACCGCCTCCGTCGGGGAGCCCCGACCCATCTGTAACTTTGGCAGGACTTCAGTGCGTGCCTGTCTGTGTGCACTTCAATAGAGACAGACGAGACAGTGGCTGTGCTTGTGTCAGTGGTGGCGTACATCATTTCATGATTCATTATCTCAAACCATGATGTTTAAAAGCACTGGTCTGGAATGATACCATGACAGTTATTAAACCACTGGGGTTACATCCTGCTGGTACAATTCATGCAGCATGTCACTTTGATTTACGAAAGCACAAAACTGTGTGAGGGAGTTATAAAGACTTGTTTCCCTGGGTCGAGATGTACTAACTAGAGCCTGACTGACACATTACCATTGATATTATGGGGCATGTAGTGCCTTTTTTTTTTGAGAGTGGACAGCATGGGGATGACAGAAAACAAGGTCTGGAGGTTGGAAACGACATGTGACAAAAGTCTCTTGCCAGAGTCAAACCAGGGAAGTCGTTCGTGGTCAACACCTGCTCAATACACATCTTGGTCACAATTATTTAATAACCAAATTCAAGAGACCTCTATCAAAAATAATGGCCCAACATTATAGCCCCACTGATAGATAGTTTGGAGAAGAATTGTGACCAAACTACATACTGAGTGTGACATATTCCAGTTGAGGTATTAGGCTGAGGTTAGTCAGTCAACTTGAAATACCTCACAACAACACAGCACTGCTTCCAAATTGTCCTTTTTCTGACAGATTTCTGGCATACGGTTTAAGTCAAAATAACAAAAGAATTTGTTTCTTATTGCCAAAATATTTGGCCATTTGTTTTTGACGTCTTCAATTAAAGACCCTTTCAATTCTATATTTTTGAATTACTCTACGACACCCAACATCTTGCTAATACTGCCAACACTGTGGGCTACACGTTTTGCATCTAGGCTAACGATGGAAGGTTATGCACAGAGCAATTACTAGTGTTGGCGTAGGTGGGGGAGATAATCTCTGCATTGCCGTTTGGGCTGTATTTGTGAGAAAGAGACCTTGTCTGGTGTAATCAGTGTTAGCGGATTGATTTCATGTTGGTGTAGCAGGTCTCACAGCCCGTCGCCATCATACAGTTTGTCAGATCTTTTCCAGTACTTTGCATCCCACTCTGCAGCTGTGCTCCAAGAATACTTTGAGCTTGGAGTACAGAGAGGGAAATGAACAGGAAGCAATCTGACCCACAGGCTCAAAACTGCCAAGACGCCAGGCTGAGCAAAACCTCCAACCAACCCGAGCAGGCACGGGATCGGCCTGAGCTAATACAGAGCTGTAACAACACCAGATGTTGGAGAAGATGATGAGACGTTCCTGAGATAAAAGGCCTAGCTGGTGAGGAGGACTTGGAAAAGTAATTTGTAAACAAGTTTATGATCTTGCGCTCTGTGACGAATACCAAAGAGGAGAAACAACTGACATCGCATGAAACACAAAGAGCAACAGAGAGGGGACATGATGCTCTGTTTTGGAAGAGAGAACACAGAAGCTGAGGGACATCTCCATTTGTGAGGGATTTGCTTAGAAAGCCAACACTGCCCCCATGTGTTTCAACTTTAAATAGCACGTCCAGTAATTTGCTCCTAGATCTTAGGTCACTATGCAAGTCCTCTAACTTCACTGAAACTACAAATTGTAAAGCATCCATCCAGCTATCCACCAGGTGTGAAAAGAGTCAGGAGGCCTATTAAACTTCTCTCTCAAGCTCTCTTTTTTTAGATTATTGTTTTATTCTTTACAAAGAAAATTCCACAATACAACCCTGTGAATTCTTTCCAGAAGAGACTGTCCTAAAGTGTGTGCCGTTATCCATATTCATATGACTATTTGGTCTCATTCCGGTCTGTGACGTCATACTTTTCACTTCGACTTTGAGTGTGGGTGTAACCCGACTCTCTGTCAAAATGGTGTGTTTAGGCAAAAGAAAGGACTCCCTAGTCAGAAATTAACTTGAGAAGGCTCTTTTGCATCTGACTTGGAAGTGTTGAATAAAACCAAACACATTTGCATTCTGTAAGAAACTCATCAGAGATGTGCAGCTAAAATACAAGTTGTGTCTCTCCGGCACCGTTTTACCTCAAGTCATTTCAATTCTCATCAAAGGCAACTTTACTGGAAATAAAACTCATCATTAAGTCAAACATCTCAGGGGTTTCTTCTTCTTATATTGAAATCAACAGATAACAGAGCCATGGTACAGTGCAAACACATTTTTAGACTGCCTACCTCATACTTAAACGTTGCATCAAGGAGAAACTCCAGCAGCATCCTCTCTCCCAGTTCTTTGCTGGCCTGGTCGCTCACAAAATGAAGGACCAACACCTCTCCTTCAACGAAGTCTCCATACTTAACCATAGACAACATGGCCACCCTGAACTTGTCCTGCAGGCTCCGGCTCTTGTCCACCTTGGTGAACATCATGAGTGCGTGGAAGCGTTGGTCACCCGTGTCACCACTGTCCCTTTTCCTGGACCTCAACCCCTCACTCTCTCCTCCTACATCTCCATCTTCCTCTCTTTGCTCCTCCAATCCAGCTGGGTGGGAAAGCCTGGTGTCCACGGTTAGGTCAGCATCATTCCTGTTGGCGTTGTGGGTGGCCTGGGTGTGCTTGATCCTCTTAGTGGTGCTGGAAAAGTTCTGCCTCTCTGAGCCAAAGTAGTAAAAAGCTACAACAGCAAGTGCTGCAGCCAGGAGAAGCACAAACTGATAGGACCTGAAAGTACTGATCCTACCCATGACTCTGACTACCAGTCTTAGGATGCCCATATCTCCTTGTTGATGTCATGACAGTGGGGGTGTACAAGGGAATACTTTCACCATTGTGTGTCTTTCCAGTTCATAGCTTTTTTTGGTGAGTTACCAACATTTTCCTGTAAGAGAAAAAAATACTCATTTTAGTCTTGATCCACAGAGATGTACAGTAATACATGTTTGGATTGAGTGCACTGACTTCTGGCACTTTACCTCCACGTTTAGCTTGTAAAGCTATAATTTCCCATTTTTAATCATAAGATATAACTTATACCGAAAAAGGACAGAAGAACACCCACTTGCCTGTCTCACGTCCTTAATATCTGCAGCTCCATCTTGCCAGTTTGTTCGCCGTGTTACTGGAGGCTTACGTGCATGTATTGATGCAACGACTTTGTAAATGTTCACGGAATGTCATATAATAAAAAATACCTACAGCATGCCAACTGGTAGCGAGGATGCTAAGTTAGCAAGCGACGACTTTGCGCCTTACGTTATATATTATATGGGTAGCGTTAGCGTTAGTTGAGCTGCCCTCTGACGCTGTTGGTTTAATCCGAGCACAACGTCACCCACTGTTTGATTGTTTAAATGTATCGTTGCATATAGTTGCCGTTATTTAAGTACGGCGTTTGCATTGCTTTGTGATTTCGATAAGCAATAAGTCTAGTTGAAGAGATCACAAGCTAAAGCTAAAGCTAGCAGCCTAGCAACAAAATGCTGTGACACAACTTTAACCACACCCACTTTGTCTTAACCGTATTCAGAGCCATGCGGCCTTTACGTGTCGTTGGAAAAATGACACTTAGCAGCAAAAGGAATTACATTTTCATTTATTGATGTCTTAAACATTTCTTGAGCCATTATTTTTTTGTGATTGTACATTTAGGATTCTACGGTTTACATCAGACATTTAAATACTAATGATTTTGACATTGTCTAACAATTTATTTTAAGTATATCAACAACTCAACTAAAGTACTAGTGGAGTTGCAGATATGTTTCAAATAGTTTGTTAGGTAGGTTCTACACCAGTAATGATACTATAATATGTTTACATTATAGTTAAAATAAAACATAATAACATAAACAATACATCCTAATCATATACTACACAAGATGCACATGTCCTCCTTGTCCTGTTTCTGGGGCTTTGTGTACTGTACTGTACTTATGTAGAGTTTTGGAGAACTTTACTTCAGTCTTTCCATTTGAGGCTACTTTACTGCATTTCAGCAGAATATATTACTTGTACTTTTTATTCCATTACATTAATTTGACAGCTATAGCTCCTAGTTACTTTCTAGATTAGATTGAAACCGCTCAGGCAGATCTATAAGTTGGCAGGAATGCCATACTAAATGTTAGGTCATTTATAAAAAGTGTCACACATGTTAGACAATTTGTCCAGCAGAGAGCACTGACAAGTATATTTTTCCACCGTTAATTATCCATCCTAGTATGTCAATCTAGGTGATACATGGAGTTTTTTTCTGTTATGTGTTTATAAATCATTATAAAATGTTTTTAAACTCACAAATATTTATGTCATATTTATGTCAGATATGATGTAAAAGTATTTTCAATTCAATCAACCATTGGTAAGTTAGATAGCAACTAAATAGATGTATGCTTGGCTGAAAGTTATAAGTACGAGCTTATAAACTGCACGTGAACGTGCCAGCATTTCTGCCTCGCGACATTTTCAGCAGTGGCATTGTTGCTCTCCGCTGACGGTCGTCGTCGATTTGCCATAGACAGCCAACGTTAACCATCTTCTATCTACCGGAAACATGCACGCTTTTGTAATCGCCTAATGTTGTTTTCCTCGTAAACGATACATAGCTCGTGTTTTTTGGTTTCAAATTCAGGCTCGTTGCTAGCATAAAGCTACGGTAGCTTGATTAGCACTCGCAAAAATGAATTCCAACACGCACGTCATTCAGGTGACGAACGTCTCCCCGAGCACGACGTCCGAGCATATGAGGACTCTGTTTGGATTCCTCGGAAACATAGAGGAGCTGAAACTGTTTCCGCCTGAGTGAGTATTGTGAACTGTAACATTGGTAAAACGTTGTCTTACCTAGCTTGAGGCCTGTAGTGTTGAGTAGGCCTCGCTGAAAGACATGCTAAGGCTAACGTTAGCCCGCGCCTTTAGTGAATGCAGCAGCAGTCACTCCCCTTCAACTAAGGATTATGATTGTTTTGGATTAATCGTTTAGCCCCCAAGTGTCATAAAATATATTTTTTAATGGCCTTTACAAGTTTTAATCCCGTCTGACATTTTATAGACTAAACAATTAATTGAGCAATCAGAAAAGTAATTGTTAGATTAACCAATATTTTAAATTAACATTAGTTGCAACCCTAGATGTAACTGCTGCAGCATCTTCTCAATGTACTAAATGCTGATTTAAACAAAGTGGAAGAACAAATTAACTTGGTGTCAATATTGTTAATGAGCTACTGCAATCTACAGTATTTTAACATTGACTATAGGAGGAAATAATTGTTCTCTGCTTTGTATCTTCCTGAATTGAGTTACACCTGACTTCTCAGCAGGTAGGACATGGCGAGGACTGTAACAACAACAAAGGTTCAAAGTGTCAGTGATTGGCGGTGATATTTGATTCCCAGATTGACGACAAGCAATGCACTTATTACAATGCGTTCATAAGAAAATATGTTTGTATGTATTGTATCTAAACAGATAATGAAGAGGTCAGAGAGTGGGTGAAGTTGTGCTGCCTGTACTCTATGATTAAAGGTATAATATGTAGCATTGTCGGTTGCTGTTTGTAAACAAACAACACCACACTTTGGGAAGGTGCAAAAATGTCGGATTTTGAATGAATGAATGAATGCATGCAGGGGAGACACTGAAGCATATAAAAACTCACAGCAATGTAACAACCCGTTGGTCGTCAAATACCGCCGCTTTGCGTCATACTGACGCTAAAGGGGTCCATGTCTTGTGCCTTGCTATCAGACGCCAAGGGGCGTGACAAAGCGGCGGTATTTGATGACCTCGGAATGACGACGGCATACATCCCACATGCTCTTATTACCTTGGGGTTACATATCCACGTTGGGCCCGAAGTATCTTTGCTGACGCCCAGAAACATCCTAAACACAGCAAAATAAGAAGTAACTACAAAATACAGGCAGAGGACAGGGTCTCTGTAGATAGACACCACCGCACACTTCTTGTGGGTCATAAGTGAGGATTGAGAAAGATTATTTCTTTTGAGAAAAATGCTGCATATTGTACCTTTTTTAACTTAGTTGTCCCAGGGGACAAAAACATCATTACGGTCAGTTTGAAGAAGGCATGTTGGGTCTCCTTGTTCGTATTCTTTGCACAACATATCTGTATTTTCTTCCAGTGACTCTCCCTTGCCTGTGACTTCACGTGTCTGTTTTGTAAAGTTCCTTGAGTCTGAGTCGGTGGGAGTTTCCCAGCACCTGACGAACACCGTCTTCGTGGACCGAGCCTTGATCGTGGTCCCTTTTGCTGAAGGTGGGTGTTTGTTTTATTCTTGTCTCACTCACATGGCTATCTCTGAACATGCATCACAATGTGTAGGTTGTTTTGATAGAATTGCAAACACTATCTGAAGCCATTGTGAGTTCTTTGTGACCAAGCAAAATTCGCTAAGCTTTTCAGTGCTTGGCATTTCTAGGTTTATAAAAAGGGAAATGTACATTTGTGTCCATGTCTGACAATCTAGCTGTAAACTTCTCTCTCTGTTATTTGTGTTGTGGTTTTCATAGTGGACAAGTCATTTGCAGAGAGTCCCTTCCTTGCTGGCTGAAAGTGGTCCTCTGCTGCCATCAGGAGATTAGAAAAAATAATGGCACCAGGCTCGCAAGCCCCCTTCTCTCTCTTGTTCTGCAGTAAAATATTAACTCTTTATTTATTTTTTTTCTCTCTGTTCAAGGCATCTTTTATTTAAAAAAAATGAGCCACGCAACTCTTCAACAAAATAGGGGTATGGACTTCAAGCTTGAACCATTTCTGATCCTCTATTTATATTTGAACCGTAAGCACCCTGGGTAAGCCTGCTGTAAATGTCCCATTGTGCTTGAACCAATAACTATCAACAATGCGTTACAATTCATGTTATCCACACTTTCAGCATACGTCAGCGTGGAAAGCTGCTGTAGGTCAGTCGCTTTGAGTCAATTCCAGCGACATTTTGCACCTGTTATACGCATCTAACAAAACTGTTTAAAGTTGGGTATACTATATCATTTATGTTACGTAGCATACATGCAGTTGACAGATCCACGCTGACACTCCTTTGTCCATTAATATTTACTTCACCGCTGTAAGAAACCATAAACGATGCTGCATATACACAGTGGTGTTTCAGTTTGGCTCGAAATATTTCTAGGTTTAAGTTGGGAGTTTGATTAGGTTTCCAAACTCCAGGTGTAAGTTGCTCCGCCCCTACAGGTGCAACAAAACCTAGCAACAGAGTGAGGGAGACGTCAATCAAGCACAGTGTTACAGGTCCACACAGTTATCAGGAGAGGTCTAATCACCCAAATACGTGACAACATGACTTTGTTTTCTTGATGCATAGCTGTTCACCAAACATCCAAACGGTATTGCCTCATTAAATGTAATCATGGCGTGATTAAGCTATTGGGGTGCATTACAAAGGAATATGTAAATACTGGATCTGGACTTGGTATTGGCAGAATGCTGATATTTAATGGCTCAGATCCGGGTAACATGTTTGGGACATCCCTACACCAGCACAAAGCATGCAGGATAGATGCTGTGCATGCTAGGATAGATTTTGAAGGTGTGTGTGCACGCCGTCATCTACACAATTACTCTGAGCAGATGTTATGGAAGTCAACACGGATATCATTTGGTTATAACCATGAGAAGCACACAAACCGGCGTTGGCATTGACTTGCTCCAAGCCTTGTAATATTTAACTTTGTGCATCTGTATTTCCAAATTTTCACTAACGTGCAAGAGATAAAAGTAGTTTTAATCCTCTGCTTGATGTTGCAGTAAAAATGCTTTTCAATGACCCTCTCCACACATGACTCTGCAAGAGTTGAGTGAATCTCACGTTTAACGGTGGTGTTTCTTTTGTTGTTGTGTTTTACAGTTCTTTTTCCTGGTTCAGCCAGCCCTATATACCAGGCCCTGCTGAAAATGCCACCAACAGTTTTGTCTTCTGCAGCCTTATCCTGTTTCTCAAGTGTCCTTTCTGTTGTGTGTGCGTGTGTGTGTGTGTGTGTGTGTCTCTCTCTCTCTCTCTCTCTCTCTCTCTCTCTCTCTCTCTCTCTCTCTCTCTCTCTCTCTCTCTCTC